CCAAACACCAATCCCTGAAATGCCCAGTTCAGCCACTTTGCCTGGAGGATGCTACTTGCATGCCCAGTGCTCTCTGGGAATGGAAAAGAGAGAAAGATGGGAATTGGCCACAAGTATGTCCTAATGTACCATATTGATCCAAAGGCCAAGAACGGCCACCTGAAAAGAAGGTTTGGCCCATTTGGGGTGAAGAAAAGAGTGACTGCTTATTTACCTTGTTTCCTCTGAGACATGTTCCCCAGGTATCCTGGAGCTCCTCTGTCCAGTTCAGTTCATGAATATTTATTAAGCAAGAATTCATTCAATCAGTCACATATGCCGCGATATTTATTTTCCACTGCATGGCATGCATTGTCCTGGGCTGACAGTCTCTGTTCTCTGTGTGATGAGAATTCAGACTTAAATCAAACTCTTAAATAATCTGTGAACACTGACAGGATATTTGATAATTTTAAGACACTCATTCATTTTTGGAAGTGTGATTATGTGAAAATATTTTGTGAATTTTTTTGAAAGACAGAATCCTTATATTTTAGAGAGGCAGAGTAAAGTGACTAAGGATAAAATATAATATTTGAGGAGGAAGTGAGACAAAAAGATACAAATGATAAAAGATCCATATGTTGTCAGTTGTCAAAACAAGAAGAAGACAACAGGGGTTCATTATATCTCTCTCCTTTGTGCATGTTTGGAATTTCTATAATAAAATGGTCTACTTTATGAACATACAAAAAACTAGATGCTGAATAAAAGTGATTTTTGAATAAAAGTTATTGCCCAGAAACATGAAACATTATGAACAGAGGTAAGTGTTTTGAAGGAATATACTCCTAGGACCATAGAACTGAGAAAATGAGTAGCAGGGAAGTTGACCTAGACTGAACATCTAGGAAGTTGCTGACCGACATGAGGAGGAAGAGCTGTTATTCCCATCAAACAACAGAGGGGCTGAAGCATTCTGAGCAGCGATACCTGCCTGTGCCCAGACCCTTAGGTGGGGAACTGCATGGAATATTCTAGAAGTAAAGGATGACTGGAATATAAACAGTGGCTCAAGTTTAATGAGATGAGCTATAGAGGTCAGACTGGGCCAGACCACACCCAGGGGGCTTTAGGTCATCCTAAAAATGTAATTTCTTGTCCTAAGCACAATAAGAAGCCATCAAAGCCATTAAAACGTGGTGACATGCTCATATTTACATTTTACAAAAGTTACCAGGGCTGCAATGGAAAGAACAAGTGGGTGGAGGGGAGGACAAATCGACTTTGGAAGGTCTGGTGAGAGGCTATTGTAATGTTGCAGTAAGGGGTGGAGACAGGTGGATGGCATTGAGCAGTGTTTAGAGGGTAATGGCCACATGATTTAGTGATGAATTAGATATGAGGGACTAAGGAAAGCAGGTTTCAAGGATGACTGGCCTAGCACTTTATGTTACAAAGATTAATAACAAAAGACTCCACTTTAAAAGAGTTCATAGTCAAGGGATGTTGAGAAGATAAGCAGTTCCCACCTAAAGTGTTAAATGCTAAGGTAGAAGTAAGTCCAGAGCTCCTAGTGGAACACAGGTGTGAGTAAATTTATGCCAACCTGGGGGTCAGAGATTGCTTCCCAGGAAATGCATAGTTCCACCAAATCCACAATAGGTGAATTAGAGTTAGTAGGAAAAAGAAGGTAAAAACAGTGTTCTGGTAAAGGCAACAGGATGAGCAAATTAGTGGAAGATATAAAACAGCACGAAGTGCAGGGTGGGGACCAGAGGGAAGTAAGTGAGGTGCTTAGAGCACAAGATTGAAGGAGAATCCGTCCTCAAGTGTGCTGTGATCCTGAGGGTCAGTACACCTGTAAAATTTGCACCATAGACCCCCTTGCTTGAAAATCCTAAGCCCTGCCCTGATGCCATGTCTACTTGCTGCTGCATGGATTTGATGCAGAGGCTAGTAGGAGATGCAGTAGCCAGAGTGAGGTAATGGAGAGTCTTGTTAGGTGCACTGGGAAGTTCGGACTTCATTCTGTAACAACAGGAGAACATCAAAGGGCATCATACAAGGGAGTTAAGGGTCACTTTCATGTTTTGGATAGATCTTTCTGATGTAGAATGGACAGAGAAAGACTGAGAGAAGACAGAGAGACCCGGTAAGATGCTGTTGCCTCATATTCCCGGGGGCGGATGGTGATGGCTCATTTGCGATGATAGTATGACAGAGAATAAGAGAAGTTTACATATTCAAGATATATGTAGGGAAATTTGGAAAAAGATGAGTCAAAGATAACTCGTAGTTTTCTCATTTGAGTGAGTCGATGATGACACCACTTACTGAGATTTCCTAAATGCATATGTGTGTACACAGGCACACACACACACACACACACACACACACACACACACACAATGTTCATATGCTCAAAAAACCACTATGCTATTTACTGCATTCAGCCACCATATTTCCTATCCATACTGTTCTGTCTAGGAAGAAACAAAAAACAAAAAACAAAATCTCAGTGCCTTGTCTAGTTTCTACACCATAGCTTTGTTCTTGAAATGTTGTGGCCATGAATGTTTTTTAAGAATTGAGTTTAAGTTTAAAAGCAACAGATAATGGAGGACAATGTTTGGCTATATAAAAGAATACTTTTTCTTTTTAACATGAAGAACAACATGATCATGACTATAAGCTCTGTTAGATCAAGTGGCATGTTCCTTTTATTTATGATCCTATCCTCAGCAGATAAAACAGCATGGCGGTAAGAAGAATTTTAAGTTAGAATGATCAGGTAAGTTTCCTATGGCACAAGCTGACCCCAAATTCTATGGCTTAACAATTATTTATTCTTGCTCATGTGCCTGTATGTAGGTCAGTGGGGTCAGCTGGTTGAGGGTTCACTAAGTTGGGATTGGCTCTAAGACACGGCCAGCATTCAGGTCATTGCTGCAAACATACTTCAGGCTTCTGTTTATGTTATATTTGCTAATATTCCATTGGCTAAAGTAAGTTGCATGGCCAAGGCCAAAGACAAAGGGCAGAGGGAATGAGAGGAAAGAGCTACTGCTAAACCACATGGCAAAGGATGTGAGTGCAGACAAGAGTGAAGAGCTGGGGTCAATAATTTAATCTACTGTTGCCCACACTCTTGGTCGCAATTATTTACATCCCTCCCACATGAAAAATATGCTCACCCTCATCCTACAGCCTCCAAAGTCTTATCTAATCATGGTATCAAGTTCAAAGTCCAGGACCTCATTATCTATATCAGGTCCAGATTTGGTTTCTTTTAATCTAGAGTTAGTTTCTTTTTCAATGTCAATAAACTAAACCTTTTCTTTTGAGATATTTTGACATATTTCATTATTTATTTTATTTTGAGGTTATGATGGCTAATCTTATGTGTCAATTGACTGAGCCATGGAATATCTATGCTCTCAGCCAAACATTATTTTGAGAGTTTCTTTGAGGTGTTTTTGGGTGAAGTTAACATTTAAATTTACTGACTGAGTGAAGGTGATGCCCTCCCTAATACGGGTGGGTCTCATCCCATCAGTCGATAGCCTGAAGAGAGCAAAGTAGGCTAAGAGAAAAACCTTCTTGCCTGACTGCCGTCAAACTGACACACTGGCTTTCCTGTGCCTTCAGCCTGCCGTCCTTGTGAGTGAAACTACACCATTGCCTCTTCTGGTCTCAGGCCTTTGGACTCAGACACTGCATTGTTGGGTCTTTGGAGTCTCCAGCTTACCAGCGCACCCTGCAGATCTTGTGATTTGTCAGCTTCCATAATCATGTGACACAATTCCTTTTGGAATCCAATTATTTATTATAATAAATTCATACACACACACACACGAAGAGGCAGCCCATGAGTTAAGGATGAGATATGTTCCTCAGAACGTCTTTAGATTGGGTTTGCATGTAACTAAGATGAACAGGACACATACAGTAATAAATAACAATAACAATAAAATAATGGCTCATATGTGGTAATAAGACAGTGTAATATTATAATTATGGTAATGATAATAGCCCTGCACTGTAATAATTAAGTTGCAGAAACTATTGTGCTCTTTCTTTTAATTCAAACAAACAGAACATAAAAACAAACTCATACAAAAATTTAGATGGGTGACAGGTGAAATTTAAAAGAAGAATATTAAAGGTTAATACTCATCTCTCACTTACTGTAAGGGGCATTTTCTGAGGCAAGAAGGTAGCTGACATTAATCCAAAGATGCTGACGGAGAGGGTGCTGGAGAGGATGGGGTGGGTGCTGGATAATTAGGATTTGATTCTGTCTCTGGAGGAGGAGAGCTGACCACTGAAGTCAGTTTATTGAGAAAGGTATATAGGGTTGTTAGCACAGCCTTTCTCTTTCATTCATCCTAAATGGCCTTGTAGCAGCTGATGTTCTCACTAGCTGCACAGTAAACCTCTGTAAACCACTCAATGTTAGGATCTTGCTCCTCACACTTAGCAAATCCTGCTTCAATGAGACACAAGGTTTCAGCTAATGCTTTTGTCATAAAATTGCTTGCTCTGGATATTCTGATTCTTCATGTTCTTGTGTTTCCATAAGCTGTTTATCTACCTGTGAGACTAGCCACTAGTGTAAAAATGCTGCACCAACGAACTGCTTATGCCTTGCGGGTTTCTTTACCTGCACGGAAGAAACTATTTTCCAAATTATTAATTATTTAATTATAAGTTAACCTTATGGGGAGCCCTGGGAGCCTGTTTGTAAGCACAAAACACCCTAAGTTGGGTGGTCCATAACCAGGGACTGCCTGTGCATATACACACACATATACAGTCATGTGCCACATGACATTTTGGTCAATGACAGAACAGCGTATAGGATGGTGGCCCCACAAAAGCTGAAAAATGCCTATCACTTAGTGACATCATTAAGGAACTCGCAAAAGGTTTTTTTTTTTTTTTTTTTTATTTCTAGACTCAGTTGCTCACCTAGCAGAAAGCCAATTACTGAGACAATGAGGCTTGCCAAGGAAGAAAGGAAATTTATTGCGGAGGATATCAACCAGCAGGTGGGAGGACTGCCTCAAATCCGCCTCCCCGACTGAGGGAGTCAGAGGTTTTTCTAGAGGTGACATGAATAACGCATGAAGTGAGTGAGCAGCATTACACGTTTGGCGTGGAGTGCAAGGCACGCAAGCGCAGCGAGAAATCGTGCTGGCACATACATCGCATGATCAAAAAGTGGTGGGTAAGCCCCTCCCAGGGAGGATTTTAGCAGTGTAATGAGCTAGGGTTAATATGGGTCATCCTTTCAGCCTGGTGCGCATGCGGGTGGTGGGAGGTAGGGTGCTTAGTGGGTCCTTGGGCAAGATTTGTGGTGGAATGCTACTTACCTTGACTTTGCTGAACAACGTGTAGTGTAGGACCTCGTGATTATCTCCTTGCTGCAAGGAGGGTTCCCCCGTTTCTGAAAAATTACCCAAAACAGAAGGGATCAGTGAAACAGAAAATCACAAATTTCTAGTCAGCAAATCTTCTGGGCCTGGGAACTTGCAACATAAAAGAACTGCAAAAGAGCATTTTTGTTCACGAAGCCGGTCACAGCATCACAGTCATTGTCACATCGTAGTACAGTGCATCGTTCATGTGTTTGTGGCAAGACTGGTGTAAACATACCTGCTGTTCAGTCCTGTGAAAATATAGCACGTACAAGTATGTACCGTACATAATACTTGATAAAAATAATGAATGACTAGGCTATTTGTTTATGTATTCACTATACTATACTTTTAAATGATTAGTTTATAGTATACTTCTTCTACTTATAAAAAAAAAATGTTAACTGTAAAACACCCCAGGCAGGTCCTTCAGGAGTTATTCCAGAAGGTATTTTTGTTATACGAAATGACAGCTTCATGCATGTTATTGCCTCTGAAGACCTTCTAGTGTGACACGATACAGAGGTAGAAGACAGTGATATTAATGATCCTGAGCCTGTGTAGGCCTAGGCTAATGTGTGCTTTTGTGCCTAGTTTTTAACAAAAAAATTTAAAAAGTAAAAATATAAAAATAATTTAAAAATTATAAAAGCTCCTTGAATAAGGACATAAAAAAGAAATTATTTTTGTACAGCTGCACAATGTATTATATTTGTGTTTTTAAAATTTTTTGACACTTAATAATTATATTTATTTATAGGGTACACAATGATATTGTGATATAAATAATATATAGTGATCAGATCAGGGTAATTAGCATATTTATCATCTCAGACATTTATCATATCTTTGTGTTGAGGACATTCAATGTCCTCCTTTTAGCTATTTGACACTATATATTATTGATAACAGTAGTCATCCTATAGTGGTATAGAATACTAGAACTTATACCTCCTCTATAGCTATAATTTTGCATTCTTGAACAAATCTCTCCTTATCCCCCACTTTTCCTCCTACCCTTCCCAACCTCTACTACCCTCTGTTTTACTTTTTATTTCTATGAGATTAGCTTCCTTTTAGCTTCACATATGAGTGAAAACATGCAGCATTTAACTTTCTGTTCTTGGCCTATTTCACTTAACATAATAATACTCCAATTCCATCCATGTTGCCACATATGACATGATTTCTTTCTCTTTTATAGCTGAATAGTATTCCGTGTGTGTGTGTGAGTGTGTGTGTGTGTGTGTGTGTGTGTGTGTATACTGAATTTTCTTTATTCATCTGCTGTTGGACACTTAGGTTGAGTCTATATCTTGGCTATTGTTTCTGTTTTAAGCTAAATGTTATTATGAAGGGTCAAAAAGTTGAAAAATTTAAAAATTTTATCAATTAAAAATATTACAGTAAGTTAATTTATTACCGAAAAAAAGAACAAATTCCTAAAAAGATTTAGTATCCTAAGTGTATGGTGTTTATGAAGTCTACAGTGCTGTACAGTAGTGTCCTAGACCTTCACATTCACTCACTACTTACTCACTGACTCACCCAGCGCAACTTCCTGTTTTGCAAGCTCCACGGAAAGTGCCCTACACTGGTGTACCATTTTTTATCTTTTATGTCATATATTTACTGAAGCGTTTCTATGTTTAGATATGTTTAGAGACACAAATACTTGCCATCGTGCTACAACTACCTACAGAATCGAGTGCAGTAGCATGCGGCACAGGTTTGTAGCCTAGCAGCAGTAGGCTCTTTCACACAGCTATACCATCTAGGTTTGTGTAAGTACACTCTCTGATGTTCGCACAATGATGAAATCCCCCTACAGCGTATTTCTCAGAACATATCCCTGTCATTAAGTGACACCTGACTACCTACATATCCTTCTGTTTCTGTGGAGAACCTTGACTCCTGTTGGTTCTGTTTTTCTAGAGAACCCTGACCAATGCAGAGATATTTTATGATGCAGTTGTGAGTATTAATATAGATACATCCCAGGTACCTCATCGTAGTCTGTGCTGCTATCACAAGATACAATAGTCTGGGTTATTTATAAATAATAGAAATTTAATTTTCTTTGTCTTGGAAGTTGGGAAGTCCTAGGTCAAGGCACCAGCAGGATTCGTGTCTGATAAGGGCCCAGTCTCTGCTTCCAAGGTGATGCCTTATTGCTGCATCCTCCAGGGTGAACGGATACTGTGTCCTCACATTGTGGAAGGGATGGAAGAGCAAGAAAGCACCCCCTTCAATCTCATGCCCTTTTATAAGGGTGCTAATCTCATTCATGAGGAGGAGCCCTCATGACTTAATCACCTCCCAAAGATCATACCTCTTAATACTGTGTCACTGGGGATTTAATTTCAAGATGAGTTTCGGAGGGGATTGCCATCACCCAAACCACAGCATATCTCTACTCATTTCTTCCAGTGGTAACAGCTTAAAAATTATACCACGTTGTCACAACCAGGATATTTTTGTTAACACAATCCACTGATCTTATTCAGATTTCCGCCATTTTTCTTGCCCTCATTTACGTGTGTGTCTGCAAGTGTTTTCCACTGTGCCATTTTATCACATGTACAAGTTTGAGTATCCATCTCCAGAGTCAAGACACAGAATAAGTCCATTACCAGAAGGATTAAAGATGTATTTTTGAATGCATAAATGGTGCTTCAAATAGAAGGGGATTTTGTGATTAATTATTTAAGTTATCCCTCCCTCCCTTTCTCCTGCCTTTTGTATTGTGGAAATTTATCACTGATCACTTCCTTGCTTCTCATGCCAGGGGATGTGTGCTGTGAGGGTCACAGCAATGTGATGTGCCACGAGCCCATGAAATCACAAGGACAAAGTGTAGCATCTACCAGGAGAAGCCATTCCAGTCAATGTAAGTAATTTTAAAGTTTAATTTTACATTTAAACAGCATGGGTATATTATGAAGTAGAATGCAGAATTTTTTAACCTAAAATAAAGAATTCAAAGATGTGCCTGCCCATTGCAGTCATTTGGGCCCCATGCTCGCAGAAACTCCAAATTACAGAATAATCTTTAGTGTTCTAAGAGGTACTTTGGTAACACCTTTGAGAAACACTCCTAGTTATCTTTTCATCTGCCGTTTGCACCTCTTTGTTCAGGGAATTCCTTAAGGCCGGGGACTCGGCAGTTCCCGTTTTATTATTCCTGGCAGTACCCGGCACAAAGCTCACCACAGAAGAAACGTTTAACTGATGAGGTTGGTTGATTTGCTCTGTGCCTTTCTGATATGATTCTCTGTCTATATTCCTGATAAAAGAGTCACACAAACTGCAGATGGAATCTAGACTCTATCCTTTATAGTTATGTGACCTTAAGGAAACTATTGAACTTCCCTGAGATCAGTTTCCTTGTCTGTAAAATCTAGGATCTAATACCCATTTTATGGGATTCTTATAGGATTTAGAGGAAATATTATGTAAAGTACCCAGCATAATTGGTGATACTAAGAAGGTCCACAAGAAATGAGAGCTGTTACCATAGTGATGATGACACTGGGATGTTGATCGTGTTACATTAATCTTAACAACTGGAAGAAATCAAGAAAGGGCTGTAAAACAAATGAACAAAAATGAATGAGGGAAGTATTTTCAAAAATAAATAGTTTTTGCCCAACATCAAAATATCCATTTCACTTCATCTGGTAAAAAGGGTAAAGCTGATGTCTGCTCTAAGTCCGCTAAGATAAGAGATCACAACTTAAGGAAACAAAATCATCAATACTCTCTTCCCTAAATCTAGTATTACATGGAAATCCCAGTTCTTACTCATATTTTCTAAGTGAATTAGGAATCAGATATAATCAATGATGTAATAGAGAAAACACTAAAAATAAAACAAATGTATCTAGGGGAAAGGGCTTTAAACAGAGCTTTGAGCAATGAAAGCCTCTAGAGTCATTTTTCTCTGTCCATTTTGGTGAAAGCATTTTAACAAGATGCTCTTTTCAAGATGTATCATCATGGAAGAGTGATAATATAAAAAGATCTTTTCTCAGACCTGGGCATCTAATGAAAATGTACAATCTTCTGTTCTCAGTTCAGCTAGGAGGTCTGGGTGCCACATCCTAAAAATGGGACGGTTCTTTGCCACCCTCTCTGTACCTGCTCAGCTTGAGAACATCACATCCTCTGCAACCTAGCTGTGAGTGCCATGCTCTTCGTGTTATTAAACTTAATCCCATCTTTAATCGGAAACCTTCATTTCCAAAGTGGCTCATGTCTATGCATCCATCGTCATGTCAGTGCTGGCTAGGTGATGACTTCAAACACATCTTTAAGCCCTATGATTCCTAAAACTTTAGAGCCATTTTCCTAATAAAAAGCACATATATGACTGCATGTCTGTCTAGGCAGGGCCTGGAAGCAGCAGTCTGCTGAGAAGGAATCCACAACTCTCTGGGGTGAGATAGGACAAGATGTTCCTAATGAAACAAATTCATGAGTCTTACTGAATGTCAAACATGGCCGACTTGGGGGCTTGGGTGTCCATAAATAATACTTATTTTCCCCACCTGAATGCTGAACTGAGCGAGAGGTTTATTACATGGCTTAGATGTGGAGAAACAATAGGCTTCCTAGTCCTGAACCACCAATTATGCAGACACATCTGCTCAGATTGGGCAGGACCTCCTCCGGCCTCCCTGGAGCCTTCACCAAAAAGCTTGTGGTGTGGGTAACAGAGAACAAGCCTTTGTGATGACCAAGCACAGAAAGAGAGGTATGAGAAAGGGCTGGTCTTTGTTTTCCCAGGTTCTCATCCAAGTCTCACTGATCTAAGAAATCACCCTCTCTCCTCTGTGGGGCTGCAGAAAGGGGCCATGGGTGTTAGGCATTTGGAGCTGTTTCCAATGGAAGGAAAACCTAAGGAGTGAGAGACACTATTTTCCTTCTAGCAGCTTATGCACAGCTTTCTCAGCGTCAGCACTGTTAGCAATTTGGACCAGGTAGTCCTCTGTGTTGGGGGCTGTCCTGTGCATTGTGGGTTATTTAGCAGAGTCCCTAGCCTCTACCCATTAGACATGAATAGTATGTGCCCCCAAACTGGGGCAACCACAAATGTCTCCAGACACTGCCAAATGCTCCTTTGTGGGTGGGGGTAAAATCACCCTGGGTTGAGAACCACTGGGCTAGACTGCAGTTCTGTTTGCTGTAAATTGCTTCATTCTGGATGCTTCTGTTGAGCATTTACTATGTGCCAATCTAGGGGAAAAAGGGAAATATGATCTAGTTTGGGCCTTAAATTGCTTGAGTCTAGTGTATTCACAGAGATGTATCTATGGAGACATTTGGTGCTACACATGAATGTCTAATTGTTCCCCAGCAATGGGCTTGAGTCAGGAAAACCCAGTTTGACCACGTGGACGTAGATCTGTTGTTCCTTCCGTGACAAAATGCCTCAATGGGAAATAGACATTTCTCTACAGGGCCTTTGATTTCTGTTTGGAGAATGACTACTGTATACAGGCTCGGCATTCTGAACGTTTGCCTGCAGCCCATGAAATTTGTTTTCTCTCTGAGTAATGGGGGACCCTGTGTCTCCATGGCATCTGTGAGATCAAAGTCATTTATTTCACAGCAAATATTAAGGCCCAAACAGCTTAATCTTGACAGGAAATAGAATCTCTAGGGAAAATTCAGAGTTTAAACAAAAATAACTCACTAATGCTCTTACCCGGTACTTCTGAAATTTATACATCAAATACATTGACTCATTCACTGATATGATTGTTATACTTAGGATATGATGTCAAATAGTCATCTTTAAAGAAGTAACATTCCATTTCCATTACCTAAATTTCATGGCCTAAATGTGGTGGCCTAAATGTAATGACCTCACAGGGAAACGTTTTCTACAGAACCTTTTCCACAAAGATGTCAGGTATCTGGGGCACAAATGATAGTGAAATTTGAGGCTGACTTTTTAAAAAATGATTTTAGCAGAATGGAAAGGAAAATAATGTCTTTTTATAATAGTAGCTCTCACATTTTCTAGGGCACAGGCCATTTTCATGAAAGATGCCCTTTGAGCCTTCCTGCTTTTCAGTACATAGAAATAGCTCTAGGAGAAATGGGAATATGGCTCCTGTTTTTAATAGAATGATGAATTAGGGAGGGGAAGGACAAGAAACTAAGAAACTCAACAGGAGTCAGTATATCTGAGTTCCAGACCCAGATCTCCTTTTTTCTGTGAGATGATCTTTTATGTTTTATACTTTTCTCTTATTATATTAAGGTTTAGAAATGAAATTCTCTCTCTGAGTTTATTTATTTTAAAATAAAAGGTTCTGACAAGAAAAACTTAGAGTTCTGAAATGTTATAAGTCTAAGGAGTTAAGTTTTAAAATATTATTACAAATATTGCTAATATTACTAAAATTGCTAAAATTTACTATTGCAATAATAGTGAAATATTATTACTAAAATTCATATTAATATCACTAATATTACTAATATTATTATTAACATAACTTTATGCATCCAGCAACATTTGTTGGTAGCCTCCCCTGTGCCATGCTCTATTCTAGGCACTAGGGTTGCTAATAGAGGGCATGGTTAATTTAGGCAAGAAAGCAAGTATAAATACTTTCTCATGACAAATATCAAAGGTTAAAAGACTACTTTGGAAAGCCTCATAATGGTATCGGCATTATTTTTTTATGAATCTCGTATGTAAAGGAAAGTTTAGGAACTTATTTATAACCTTTAGGCATCTTTTTTTTTTTTATCACTATAGTTTATTTTGTACTGCTTTTCAAATTTTTTTTCATTTTTTCTTTTTTAATTTCAGCATATTATGGGGGTACAGATTTTAAGGTTTCAATAAATGCCCATTTCCCCCCCTCCCCCCAAAAGAAAGAGAGAGAAAGTGTGTTTCATGAAGACAGCAATATACTTGCCTGTATTTCTTATCCATTCAGGTTGTTTTTGTGTTGTTATTTTTGATCACTGTGATTAACTATTTTTGGTCTGTTTTCTTTTCGATTTTGTTTATTGGTCTGTTGTGCATCACAGCCGTTAAGTACTTCTTGTAGGGCTGGTCTTGTCTTGGTGAATCTCTGAGCCTTTGCTTGTGTGAGAATGTCTTTATTTCTCCTTCATATATGAAGCTTAGTTTGCAGGAAAATATTTAGGCTGGGCATTGTTTTGTTTCAAAAGAGTGAGAATGGGGCCCCAGTCTCTCCTTGCTTGTAAAGTCTCATTAGAGAAGTCTGATGTTATTTGAATTGGCTTTCCCTTGTATGTTACTTGCTTCTTTTGTCTTACAGCTCTTAGAAGGGCCTCTTTAGTTGATACTTTGGTCAGTCTGATGACTGCATGTCGTGACGTCTTCCTGTTTGCATTGAATCTCCCAGGGTCCTCTGAGCTTCTTGAACTTGTATATCAAGATTTTGAGCAAGGCCTGGGAAATTTTCTCTATTATATCTTCAAACAGCTTGTCCAACCTTGAGTGTTGTCTTCTTCCCCTTCTTGTAACCCTATGACCCTCACATTAGGTTTCTTCACATAATCCACAGCTCTTGTAGGCTTTGCTCTTTTCTCTTGTTTCTCTGCTCTATCTCTGTGACTGATTTATTTAATTGGGTGTTATCTTCAAGCTCTGAAATTCTTTCTTCTGTTTATCTACCCTGTTCTTGAGACTTTCCACTGTATTTTGTAGTTCCTTGAATTGATTCTTCATTTCCAGGAGTTCGTTACACTTTTCTTCATTGTTCTATTTTCTTTCCCATATCCTGGAGGCTTTTTGTGGTTTCTTGGTTTGGTTATTGAGTTGTTATTGCAGCTGGGTGAGTGTTCTTATGATCCACATATGAAATTCCTCTTCTGTCATATTGGTTGCCTGATTTGGTTAGTGTCCGTTTCTAGGGGCTGTTGCTCTCCTTGTGGGTGTGTTTTCGTTTGGTTCTTCATATTTCCTGAGTTCTTTCGCTGATTTCTTCCCATGTCGATCAGTTGTTGTTTCTTTCCTTAAGTTATTGTTTGGGTATTCACACACCTTGTTTAGTTTCTGAGGCGTTAGGTGGTGTCTGTGGGTGAAATTGGACCACTCCCTGTATATTGAGTCATTGGGTGCCATGGAAAGGCTGTGCAAGATGCCGTCCCTGTCAGTAGGTGGCGTTTGCTTGGAGGAACAGGCTATGGTGTTGATTTTGATTCCTGTTATCAGCTCTTGTTCTGGGCGGAGCTGGGTTGGGTAAGCCTGCCTTCAGGCCGTTAGCAGGGGTCAAAGTTCTGTTCTCTGCTTCCAGGGAAAGCTGTCAGGGCGGGCTGGAATGGTCCCGCTCAGCAAGAAAGTCTGGTGTGGGGGTGGGCTGTCTGAGACCCGCAGTCTGGAGCGGCTCGCTTCTTTCCACCTCCCCAACTCCGCAGCTACTCCTGGCCTCTGCTAGCAGGCCAGACCAGAAGCCACCAGGCCTCCCGGACTGTGATGCCGGCGGAGGTTCCCTCACAGAGACGCCACCTGGGCTGGTGCACGGCCTCCTCCTGGGAGGAGGGTTGCCCTCTAGGATGCCACGCCCTGGAGGCACACACACCTCAGTAGGCTGTTCACATATAACCCTTCTGTGCCCGGCAATGCTAGCCCTTGGTGCAGGGATCTGGTCTGCAGGTCCAACCTCTGGGTCCCAGAGTTCAAACTGTATCCCCACCAGGGAGAGGATTTCCGGTCCCAATTCACCACAGGGACCCAAGCTTGGTCTATGTCTCTCAGCCTCTGAGTGGCACCGTTCTCCTGGGAACTGCCAGGAGCACCTGGGAGGGCGGGCGGTAGGGAGCTCACAGTCTGAGTTCCCCTGAGTCAGCTGTAGGGTCCCAAAGGGAAGGTCCGTTCCCTGGAGGTCTCTGGCTGGTGGCTGTATTGTCTCTCTGGGCAGCCGCGGTAGGGTCGGAGGAGGGAGGAGGAGGCAATATGGCGCCTGCCGCCGCGGCTCAGGTCTGTGCACAGGAGGTGCCCGGAGGAAGTTGGGAACCTGGTGCCACGTCTGCTACAGGCTCACCGCTGACTGGGGCGGCCTCTCTGGGCTGGTGCCGCAGGTCTCTCCACCCGCTGGGAGCCCACCAGCAGTCCAAATGCAGGGAGGGAAACAGCAAATCCACCTACCCTTGCCACTGGTCTCCGGGCTGCTCCGGTGGTCTCAGCCTCCA